CATTTGTGGTTAGGACCAGATGCTCTAAGTGAGGGCTCCGCAGCCACCACCGTGTCCCACCACCATCTACTCCCGCAATACACAGTTTTAATTTGTAATTGTGGGTGAGTCACATCTGTCATCAGAGTAGTGAATGGATGGGCGGTGAGGGGCCAGGGATTTAGATAAAAAGGTTGCAAAAGATACAGTGGAGAATGCCAGACCACAACTGAAGCGACTGAATGCATTCAGTTCCAACCAGGGGGCCTTCGCTGCCAACCCTAGCCTGGTGTCGTCACAGCCCTTTTAGAATAAAGGGCTCTGTGAGCTGTTGCTACCAACGTGAAAGGGGCGAGACAGCTCCCAGATACGCAAACACAGAAATAGGAATTGATCATGTTTCAAGTCTCTTCTAAAAATGAACAACTTTGGATGCTTTAGGTTTCTGGGACTATATTTGACTCTTGCAGTAGCCCCCAGCTGGGTGAGCCTGCCTTCTGCCTTCTCTGGGGCTGCATTAGTTTGCTAGAGACGCCGTAACAAAATGCAGGACTCAATGGCCTCAGCAAAAATGTGTTTTCCCAGAATTCTGGAGGATAGAAGTCTAAGACCAAGGCGGCATGGGTACCAGCCGTGGGTACGAGCAGGATGGAGAGAATCTTTGCTGTCCCTTTCTCTGCTTCGGGGAGCATTAGAGCTACTTGTTCAGGGCTCCACCCTTCTGACCTCATTCAATCTAAACTACGTCCTTAAAGGCGCAGTCTGTAAACACCCATCCACCCTGGGTGTTAATATGCACGTGTGTACCATGATTCCATTTATCACAGAATATGTAGGTCTGGGAAGAAAACAATGAGACTGCTTTGCTTTTAAATAAACGGGCTTTCTGCCCAAGCTGTTTCCTACAGGCTCCTACGCTGCCCTCTGCCAGGGCAGGAGGCTGGTGTCCATCCGCAGCGCCCGCCCACCTGCCAAGCGGCCTTCCTGCTTCTCTGTCTCGCTCTCTGTCGCCAGTCTTTCCAACTGGCACACACTAGTTTCCTGCCTTGGAGCAGAGCCCCACATTCTCCCACAGGCAGCCAGGTCAGATCCTCTCCCCACTGTGTTGAGCCCGTCCCTTACCGTACCTGGAGACCAAAGTCAGCTCTGAGCACGGTACTCCACGTGCTTTGTCTGCAAGGAAGGCCCAAAGCACGACTGGACGCAAGCACCAGCACGCAGCACAGAGAGCCACACATCTTGGTTACTTCATTCATTCATTCAAATATTTACTGAACATCTACTACATGCAGCCAACAATTCAGTCTTGTGGGATCATCAGTGAATAAGGCCAGAAAAAAATCCTTCCTTCATTGAGCTTACATTCTTTTTATCTTATTCTTCTATTAACATTTTTGCTTTGCTCAGATTTCTTCCATTTAAAAAAATATTTATTGCTCTCTATCACAATCGCATTCTACTCCCAGCTATTTTCTTTCTTTCTTTTTATTTCTTTTTATTTTTTAGGGAAGGGTCTACAGGGTGTTCAGGGTCTCACTACTATATCGGACTCTGTAGCGATCCGCCTGGTTACAGCCTCCCAGGAGCTGGGGTTACAGGCGGGCGCCACCACGCCCAGTGTCAACTGCCGTCTCAGTGTCCCCGGGGGCAGGGCCGGCCCAGCAGGTCCAGGGATCTAACGCCAGGCCCCTGCGCCTGCTTGCAGGCACTTTGATCCACTGAGCTATTTGGCCGGCCCTATCACAGCTATTTTCAATCTTATACTTTATAACTCTATAACCTTATTAAATGTATACATTTATAAGACCCTAACTGACTTCATCAAGAAGTAGGTAGAGCCATTTAATGGAATAAATCAGGTATTATGAATAAAGTACCAAACACGTAGTAGAGACTCGATATAGGAATTCTTTAGGATCAACCTCAAATGCTGTTTTTCTTCTGCAGTCTTTCATGGTGCCAGAAAATATAAGGACTTTCTTTTTTTTTTTTTCTGTCTTCCTTTAGTGCATGGTGCATCCCCCATATAATCTGATACTTTTTGAGTTTCTTTCCTATGTTGTTGTCTAATTCTTGTGTGCACATCAGGCTCCCTGGCATACAGACTTCTACAGGGACTACAGCACACACTGCAAGTATACATAGATAGGTATTTGGCGCTGAGGATTAAACCCAGGGCCTGAGCTATATCTCTAGCTCTTTTTCTTATTTTGAAATAGTGTCTTGTTAATCCACTAAGTTGTCCAGCCTGGATTCAAACTTGAGATCCCTTTTTTTTGAGGCAGGGTCTCAGTATATAATTCAGGGGGCTGAGGAGATAGCTCAGTAGTTTAAGCACCTGCTTGGCAAGTGCAAGGACCCAGGTTTAATCCCCAGTACTGCCTGCCATGCTGGTCCCGAAGCCCCATGCAGGCCACTGAAACTGGGCGTGGTGGTGCATGCCTGTAATCCCAGCACTCAAGAGGCTGCAATAGGAGGATCACTATGAGTCTGAGCTGCATAACAAAACCCTGTACCAAATAAGTAAACAAATAATTTTTAAAAATCAGTATGTAATTCAGGGTGGCCTTGAACTTACTTTGTAGCCTGGGCTGGCCTCAAATTCATCATGATTCTCTTGCCTCAGCTGCCTGAGTGCTGGAACTACATGGGTTGCTGGGACAACCCATGTGATACAATCCCGGGCTACGGAAGAGGTGAAGTAAGGGTGTGGAAACACCTCTCTTCCATTCTCACTTGTTATTTGATATTTTCCATCTGGCCCTCTTTACAAAACAATTCATGATTCCTCCTTACATTTAAAGGGAACTGGATTTATATTGCTAGAACACATCCATTATTTAATATGGGGAATAAGACAACGATCCTTGAAGCAAAAGAAACACTTCACATAATTAAGAATAAAAGAGCAGAATTTTCTATAACAGGAAAATTCTGCAGGCAAATTACATGAGAAAAACAGCCCTAACTAAAACAAGTGTGCATCCACTGGATGGAAAATTACACATTTTTAATTAATAAGTAATTAATTTTGGTGGTAGTAGGGATTGAACTCAGGGCCTTATGCTTGCCAGGCAAGCACTTATTGCACTGAGCTATCTCCTCAGCCCTATACATTTTTTAAAAAGAAACATATTGAAGCCTCCTCAGGTAAATTGTAAAGTACACACAATATATTGTGATGGAAAAAGTAGATTCAAACTGTACAGTATGATACCAATTTTGCAGGCTG